TAAATCTAATTGCTTATTTCTAAAAATTTCTTCGGCTCTAAACTTTTCTAGATTGAGTCTTTGCCTCTCTTTTTATAAAGTTAAATTTTCCTCCATTATTTTAATTTTTTTTCTCGACCATCAGAAACTTTTCTTCAAATCCTTTCATTGTTTTTGATGTTTTTTTGTTGGAGTTTGAAGTGGAAGGTTGCACATCTTGTCTTGGACATCTTCTATCCATTCGTTTGCTTGTGGGATCGCTTCCGATGTCATTGAGAGGTCGTCCAGTATTTCTTCTTCGGTGCGCTAAAATAAGGGAATGGGATAACATTTTTTGTACGAATTTCAATTTAATAAATATAGAAATATGTATATACAAAATTATGTCATTTGCTGTATGAACTTACTTCGGTTACGGTAAGCAACTCGCCCACACTTTCTTCGCCACTAACAAGAACCGGCGACATTAGCTGCAGTACCCTCCTCTGATGCTTGTTTTCTTCCTCGGCAAACCATTTACGAAACCATACGAAAACTCACCGAATAAAATTCTGTGAGATTGTTTGAGGCGAAGTGTACACAATTTTGGCAGTTAAAACTCATTATCACACTTGCTGAATCGCAAAATGCCAGTGTACACAATTTTCAGTGTAGACTAAAAACTCACAGTTACAGTATCCAGCCCCCGTATTTTTTCGGAGACTATTAAAAGTAATCGATATCTAATGCTGACTACACACGGGGCAACCGTTGAAGCAACGTGTTGAGGCAACCTGAATTTCTTGTTTAATATACACGAGGCCACCATTGGGGTAACCTCAGTAGTATGTGCTCTATTATGAAATAAACATTCAGAAGAAAATTTTGTTTTCTACAAAAACAACTTTTCGGCTCACTTGTTTTCAACGAACTAAGCCAGCCAATAAAATCAATCCACAATGATACACACCAGGCAACCGATTCGGCAACCAACACAAAATATCAAAATAATTTGATTTCCGGGCGAAGGTTGCGTCAACACGAATTCTCAGAATTCGGTTCAAAAACGATCTATCTCAAACATTATATTTATAAAATGCATTGAAAATGTCCTGAGATATGGCGTTTTTTGAATCGGCAGCTGAGATACGGCGTTCTTCAACCAAATTCTGAGATAGGACGTTTTTCAATAAAATTCTGAATTCTTCAATCAAATTCGTGAAAAAAAAAAATTTGAGATTGGGCGTTTTCGAACTGGCTGCCGAGGTAGGTCGATCTTCCACTCAGCCATCGATATGTTTCTCTCAACACATGGTTCGGCTACAGTTACATTGTTTAGTTATACATGGTTACCAAAAAATGTATTGGGAGAAACATATTAAGCTGACTTTTTTTCTGAGTGCAGAGTAGTTACAAAACTTAAAAAAAAACTAGAAACTCATTCCAGCACGTTTGATATATCAGATCCGCTTTTCAGCATTAAGAAAGCGATACTCTCCTCTCTCAATAAGTGAATTATTGACATAAATACATAAAATCAGCTGATGAATTTAGTTCTGTAGCTGAACAGTTTTAGATCTCGACACTTAACAAACTCCTGCCTATCGTGACTCGGCACAAAAATTTAAAATATTGGTTCCGTACGTCATGCGGACTGCGCCCCTCGTGCGGATGGGCGGGAATGGAGGGTAAAAACCGTTGGGATATTATATATATATATAAAATAAAGAGAAAACATTCCGCTATAGATAGATATTAGCGAAAGTTGCTTATTTTGCTTGGATAAACAAATAACAGACAATTTGTTTGATAATGATAAAATTTTTCTGAACACCCGTTCTAGAGGCTTGAGTAGTCAACTTGTTCCACTAAACTATCTTTAGTTTATGTTTTTTCATAGTTCGCGCATCTCTACTAATTATTATTTTTTGAATAAATACCGTGTATTTTTCGATTTGACGTAAATAGGACATATTCGTAAATTGATGACTTTCAGAACTTTATTCACTTCATTGGCTTCAAACCGATTTAAACTTATCTGTGAATAATTAGTTTTCATAAAAACCCACCAACACTTTACAAAAGGTCCAAAGTAATTGATACAATGAAATAACACTTTGTGCAAGCGCTCCTTCCAGCATATTTCTGGGGTCATATGACGCATTGTGGAGTCTGATCGAGTTTTAATGAAACTGGTTCGATTGTCTCGTCATTTCATATCCCTTTGACAATTGTGTCAACTTATATAAATTTAGTTTTAAGAGAATATCACCCTGTTTCTTTTTAGCTTAAAACTTTTAACGTGGGAGTTGACCGAAGTCAAGTTTTAAACATGTTTTTTAGTCATTACTAAAAAAATACCACATTTGGTTTGAACATTGGGGTAAAGTAAATGGGTGAGGTTTTTGTTATAAAATTAATTTAATCTAACAGAATTATATATATTATAACTCGATAAGGTTTAAGTCTTGCCATAGCTTCCATTCGCTGAACTGTGGATAATCGTTTTACAATTCTCTCGCGCAATCTTCTTCTGATAAGCCGTTTTTTTATAATTGAGGTAAATAGCCTTATCCTTAAGCTGGAGCGAAATGATTTTTTTTTTGAGATTAGCTTACTCTGTTAGTTAAAGCAGAAGGAATCCATTCATTGATTTTTTGAGGAAAATTAGCAGTTTTTGGTATATTTAATTTTAATTTAATTTTTGATCTCGAGAGTGTCGGATTTTCAACGAATTCGTTCAGCGTTATTTTTTGAGCAGCCACTTCCAACGCGAATAAAACTGTCAAATTAAAAGCCGGTACTATGAAATTTCAACCTCATAATGGTAATGCTTTAGGTAGGACACTTCTTTTTTTATTTAGTATAAATTTGGATACTTTTCTTAAGGTCCATAGGATATACATTTTGATGACCAAAAATTTTGTTACTGGCGTTCTAAGTATCTTCAGCGTTGCCATAGTGGATATTTTTATTCAAAATAAAAATTGTTTGACCTGATTTTTTTTTAATACGAAGTTCTTTTAATTTAATATATCAGTTATATTAGTGAAGTACGCTTTTTGTGTGCTCGTCGCATTTCTTGAGAGAGTTCAAGAAATTTTAGATTTGAAAGGGAGTATTTTTTTATAGAAAACATGTTTTCAGTGAAAAATTTTCAATTTAATATTATGTTCAAATTGGCCCCATTTAACTTATTAAATGAAAAACGAGCTTTTTGTAAAACACAATCGTTCACATTGAACATTTGGAGTTAACTTTGACGGTTGTTTGATTCTAAATATATTTTTTAAAAAAATATTTATACTTGTACATATATTCAAAATGAAGTTTTCGTGTTTCAATTTGTTTTATGTGAATGTGTACTCCATAATATTAACGCATACGGATTACTTAGAGACTTCAAAATGTTTAGTAAATATTCGCTATTTATCTTTGCGTACGATGAGACCTGATGTGAAATAACTAATTATCGCCTTGGTCTCTTTTTTGGCGGGCAGACATGCATACAATTTTGAAATTTTTTGATAATTTTTAATTTTTAATATTTCTCAGAATATAAATTTTTTGAATGTTGGCGTGTCCAATGAAAGCGTTTGGCTCTTTCTGATTGGCTAAAGCAGAAAGCTTTCTGATACAACTCTGCGCTGAACTGATTTTCAAATGAGTTAAATGATTTAGCTGGTTAAATTTTAACGTTGTCAATATATTCAGCTATTTGGGCATTAATAGGCCTGATATCGTACTAAAACAAGCAAAACTGTCAAATTATAAAAATGCGCTCAAACAAGTAGGGTATCGGTTTTAAAAAATCTGTTTAAATCCGTTAAATTTGTAAGCTCAAATTGCGCACCAAATCAGACTTAAGTTAAGTTGAAATGCTGATATTGCATATTTCACAGGGCAAAATTTTCATTACCACTGCAAGTTGCCTCAATGAGGGTTTTTATGGATAATTGTTATTATTATTATTATCAGTTTATTTTCATAAATGAATTATAAAATTAAACTTAAAATTTAGGTACTAGCAGCTAGAGGGCATCGACCTTATTCTAAATTATTTTAAATATAATGTATAAAATATGCTTTGCTTTGAAAATTTTTTAAGTAACTCGGGTAGAGAGGGAAGGCTTAGTCATTCTTATACTTCTTTTATGACGTGGCACTCTTCTGTGTTTTTATGGATAAACTTAATAAAATTCACAGCTTTTACCAAACAAATTTGAATCACAAAAAATTTATTAAGTAGGATTCATTGGTTTAGTTTAAAACTTTTTTTCTATGTGGTTGTTGCTGTGTTTCTCTTTTGGCCCATTCTTGCCTAATTTACATGGCCTTAAAGTAATATTGCCAAGCAATTAGCGTGGGCAACCAACTTTGTTCTCCTGAAAATTTTATTTAAAACCGAAGGCTCCAGAAGGGGCGATAGTACATATCACTGCCGAATTCCACAGGCAGTTTTCTTATTCATAAACCCTACGCCTGCAGTTGCTCTTTTTGATCTGCTGTTGATCATAGAGTCGATCCATGCTGGATTTCTCTCCAGCGCCTAGCTGATTGCTTCTGTCTTGCTGAAAGCGGCATACACATTCGAACAGTTCGTCGACTTTCTCACTACTAAATAACAATAGTTTAAGAGCGGGACTTATTTCATAAAGTGAATTTTATTCCAGCGAATCTTATTTGACATCAAAAAGTGATGATACCGCATGGCAAATGCTTGATTATGTCAGTCCAGTATAAATGGCGGATTAATATGTATTAGAAATTTACCAAAAAGCTCAAGCTTCATTAAACCAAATAGGTTGATGACCCGGCAATTCAGTTTGTAAATAACTCAAGTGGCTACGCGTTATTCTCTGTGAAAGTCATTACTGAAATACACAGAAAACTCAAGTGGGTCTGGTCTGCCAAACTTTTTATATATACTGTGTTAGAAAAAATCTCTTAATTAGATGCAAATCAGCTTGTTTACTATTCTCATACAAACTATTTGGATTAAAAATTTTTTTAAGAACCAAACCTGTCTTCTTTAATTTCAGCATGGAGAGGAATAGCAGTGAAATCGAGCAAGCATGAATGCTTACGAAGCAGCTGTAGACAAGAAATTTTAAGTAAAAAAAAAAAAAAAACGAAAATTAAAAACTAGTTGGCTAGTAAAACTGTCACGCACGCAAATATACAAAACTACATACATATATTCTTCTGATTGGTGATGCGTCGAAAAGTCGAGGCATATACTAGCAACGCACTGCGACTAAGAGATGCAGCGACGCCTGTAATGACACTTACAAAGGCGAGAAAACGAAAATTCCTCAAAAGCCAAAATTCCTCACTAGCGAGTAGAATCACAATGAAGACGACAAGTTGGCCACTTTCAATGGCCAAGATGCAACACAGCATGCCGACGAGTACTGTACGGTGGTTGGGCTTGTTGACGCTGCTGCTGCTGCTGCTGCTGGCAACACGTAGTATTGGTAAGTTTTACCTGCTTTTGAATATAGTTATTTAATTAAGTGTTTGAATAGAAAAAGTTGACTTCTAAAAAAATAAGAAAAAAACTAACTCAAAATACAAAGTTTCACAAGACTAAAAAATGGTTTTGGATATCTATCCATCCATTCAATGCCGTCCAATTGCTGGTGTTGCTCTGGCTTACTACATTATATAGCAGCGCCGAGAGTGGCGTCGATTTTGTAGCACTTTAAAGTTGCTTTTATCTACCGAAAAATGGTAAAATTTTACTTACAAAAACTTAAACAGGAACTTGAGTTATCGTTAAAAAAAAAAAACGCTTATTACCAGCTTAATGTTTTTTGCTAATATTTTTTATTGTGAGTATTCACACATTTATGGTTATGAGGTTATCTGGTTTAAAAATTAGTATTCTCTAAATATATAAGACCATATGACCAGAAAGGTGTGAACACTTGAAACACATTTTACTTGACCAAAGGCATAAACCAACTAGTATTTTTTTTTACAAAAAAATAACCGGCTTCAATGCTCGTATAAAAACTTAGTAATGCCGCTAGTTTCTTCATGATCCAATGATCGGAATTAAACCAAATTAGTATGGGACCACCCTTATCGAAAACGGTTCACGTGGTCTGAAGTTATGTAAAAAAAGAACAAGAAAAATATTTTATTTTTTGAAGTCGATTAAAGATTACGAAATTTTATATTAACTGTAATAATCTTATTTACTAAATAAATAATCATCTTTGAACTAATTCATTATAATGTAGTAAGTAAAATACATATTTCTTCTAAGACTCAAGTAGCACCCTGGTGTTGCAGAAATTGGTGTAAATTTATGGATTTTGGTACAAATCCGATTAGATTGAATAAAAAAAATAATATTTTGGTGTATTTGTTTTTCCACCAGTATTTCTTCTCATAACAAAGTTCTACCTTTAGCGTTTTGGTACTATTCATTCATTGAGATTAGTACAAAAACTACACCAGCTCCTAAAATGCACCACTTTTCCATATGGCTCACAAATAGCTCAAAGTTAACAAGTGTTATTGAAATTATTCAGTCGACATTCTGTGAGCGATTGAAAGTGGTTTAAAGAATTCACCAAAAAATGAATATTGAACACACCACACAGTAGCTTCGTTTCTTTACACAAGGTAGTTTTAGCTGTATATAAGTCAAAAATTACACTAAAAAACTACAAAAACGCATTGCTTTGACGTTATGCTCTCCACGGTGGAAAATTCAGCTGGTGCCCCAACACAGTAGAGGTTTAGCAAATTTACTTTTACTTGTTTACTTTTTACGTATATTGGTATTTTTTAAAATAAAAATGAGCGAGTTATTAAATATTGATAAATAGTTGCAAAACGTAAGTATTTGTGAATAATTTCGGAACCTAAAATGCGATTCGCACAAAATATTTTCAGTTGTCAAAAACATCGGTTAGGTGTTTACGTGCTTGTTTTCGGCTAGTTTGCGTTTCTTAAGTATTTCTTATGTATAGATTTTGAATATGTATAGATTTTAATAATTATTTAGTGATATTTCAGCCAAATCAGTGTAGTACCAATGACATGTAAACAAACCGTCTGACGTTTTTACAGGAAATAGTGCTTTTTGCGTTCCTATGCACTTCTGCATCTGTTCTCCTTTTGCTCTCATTTGAGAGCGTAAAATTGTAGTATGACAGTTCCACAGGTTTTAGTCCGAAGTTCAAAGGAACAGACTATCTATATTTCACTCGCTGTGAGCGTAATTCTGTAAATTTTCCCATACTTCTCCTTCCTGATAATGATCTGCTAGAAAAGCAAAGCAACAAAGCTAGTGTGTGTGTGCATAATAATACACTGCCTGTTTGAATACATACTACAAGTAGAGCTGCTATCAGCGTTGCCGTTAAGGTCGACCTTATAATCAATAATAAATAAACCCTCAGACAGATCGCGGAGATTTAAAAAAAATATTACTCAATTCAAAGAAAATTTTCCTGACGGCCCTGCTATACTTGTACATACATATGTACTTACCTTTTTGAGTGGCATTGTTATTATTATTGCGAAAGTTTGTCAGTTTAAGCACCTAGCTGTCATTTCGAATTGACATCAATTTATTTTGAGATAGGTACATACATACACACATTCATATACGCATACTAGGGATGTTAATTTATCAGTTTTTCCGATCCCGGCAATTTCGGGATGTCGTTATCACAATCCCGGGACCTCGGTATTAGTCTCGGGAGTTAGATATTCATTACTTTTCAACAACTTAAATCGAAAAAATTGCTTCTATATTGTTTGAGAAGCTCTCCTACCATAAAATAAATAATAAATAAATCGGTTTGAAACCTACTTTTTTTTATTTAAAGTGGCGCTTTTATTTTTTTCGCTGACATCAGGATTTATTTTAAAGGAGTTTGTAATTTCAAATATATGATTAATTCCAAAAATTATTTAAAAAATTCAGATAATGAATTGGTAATTTTTTAAGCTGATATAGTTAGATGGACGAAATTCGAGGATGTTATGAAGTTTATATAAGCCCTTAACATATAATTCTTTCAAAAAACAAATACTGCGAAATTTCAAAGTTAAAATTATAAAAGAACATTTTCAATACTTACCAGTCCTTCAGCACCAAAAACTTGAATCTGTTTAAATTCTAAAGGATTTCCTCTTTAATTTGATACCCTTACTTCTTCTCTAAGCACATTTCTCTGAATTTTTTAAATCATTTTTGAATTACTGACGTTATAGTGAAAAACTAAAAACGCAATTTTACTATATTTGGCCCATGGTTTCGCGAATATATTGATATTTGTGTTTAAAAATTACTATCGCGCGGTGCTGTATGTATAATGAGCTAGACAATTATGAACAAATATTAATTATTAAATAAAAAAAAGAAATATAGCCACTACTGGTCAAGAAAAGGAAATTATATTATTGCCATCAGCGCAAATTACAAATCCCGAAAATCCCGGGATTATTTGCCAAGAATATTTTTGGGACCTTAAAAAGGCCGGGATCCCGAAATTAGCATTCCTAATGAGTACTCACATCTTGTAGAAATACAAGTGTATATTTACCCATAAGTACATACATACATGTACTCACCGTGTACACTGGTAATTGTGGAAGCAATATTTAATGTACCAGAAAAGTTCGTAATGAATAAGTGAAACACAACAAAGTATGTATTTTATGTATTGTATTTGTATGTAATTTGCAATGCAAAGAGCATAACGAGTAAAAGTAAAATACTGGCGTTGCCCTAAATACTTTTGTTTGTAAATTCTCTTATCTTAACGATTTGCATTTGTGTGATGGAATTGTAGGCGTTGGGTGCTCGTACGCATTCGAATTATCTGTTTAACTTCTTTTGCTACACAGCTTAAATAAAATACTACATCTGTCTCACTGTAGAGCAGCAAAATCGATTTGTCATTATTTAGATCGACACTAATTCACCACGACCACCATATTCGGGTCGATAGGGGTGATTTGCTACTGCTACTTCTTTTGCAATTTCAACTTAAATGACAAATTGGATACTCGAAATCGGATGCAATGAGTTATACAATTTAAAGTTTACACCAACACCAGTCAAAGTTTTATTTTATCGGCAAGCATTTGCTGAATATATAAGAATTCGACGAATTACTCATTCATTGAATAAATTGCCTGCATAGTTTTTACCTTTACATAATTATGCAAATTTGTATATTAGCAGACACATACTAAGTTTTATTTCATCATTCCGCGACAAAAATTTCTGTTGTGAATGACGAAGGTGTGCAAGCTAAAGTATTTAGCAATGCCAAATCATAACTGTACCTTTAGCTGTGGTGATGCGCTTTTGGGTAAAATATTTTTTGTATCCTACACTAAAACGAACCTATGTATGTATTTATTCCGTTTTTACAAACTATTTATGCATTCATATATGTACGTAATATATGCAAATACTTTACAGCAGCTGCGTGAATGCAAAAGTAAAACCGTTAAATGCCGCTTCTTCCTTCACACAACTCCTTTGTCTAGCTGAAATGAACGTGGTGCGGCTTAAATATTCAATTAAATTCCATACAAAAAAGTAAACGCATGCATGTGTTCAAACATAAATTTATACACTAAGGTGGTCCAAAAAGGCACAGGAAAAAAAATATTGGGAATTTTCCTGTTTCCACCCTCTGAACTGAAGAATATCTAAAATAAGGAGATCGGTAAGACCCGAAAAAAATTTTGGTGTAGGTTGTAGCTGAGATAAGCGTTTTTGAATCGAATTCTGAGATAGGGCGTTTTCTGACTGGCTGCCGAGATAGGTTGATCTTTCACACAGCTGTCAACATGTTATAAAAAATAAATATGACTGTATCTAACGGCTTTTTTTTTTATAACTTAGCCCGAGATACGGTGACAACCTACCTAAAACGTGTAAATTAGTTTAAAATGTTATTTAAGTAAAATATCATTACTAGGTTTTCTTCCGTTTCGTTGTCCGGTAAGTTAAAAATTTTTGGGCTGCACAAAGTCTGTCGGGTTTGGTAGTATTAAAAAATTTTACATATATATTTTATTTAGACAATTTTGAAGTTTTTCTTAATATCCTTTCATTAGATACCAATAATGCCATATTTTACTTAAATTACACATTCAACTCCTTTTGATTTTTAAATGGCAACCCTATCTCTAAATGGCCACAGCGTAAAGATTTTCAGAAAAAGAGAACGCAAATTTTAAAACAAAAAGTTATTCGTTGGGTATTTCCAAATTGTATAATTTCGTATAACTTGCCTCATCTTCGTTTTCAGATGTTGGCAACCGCACGTAAGATGCCCATATTGTGAAATATTATAAGCTACACTTTCTGGTTAACTGTTGTTTTAAGTTTTTAGAAATGTGGGCATTGGGGCTCAAATTAACAGCAACAACACCAATTGGCCCCGAGCCCTTCTTTGCAATAGGACCTCACACCATCAAAGAAGAG